AGGAAACAAAATCAACATACAAAAACTTATAGCACTTTCATACAGTAACAATGGTCAAACTGGGAAAGAATTGAAGGAAAAAATCTCAATTACAGTAGTCACAATACCAGTAAGATTTATAGGACGAAACCTTACCAAAGACATCAAAAATTCTCTGCAGGGATAACTGTGAAATACTAGGAAAACAAAATAAAAATAATACACAGAATGGAATGATTCCCATGTTCCTAAATTACAAGATAATTTAATCAAGATATCAATCCTATCACAAGTAATCTACAAATTCCACGTAATTTCAATCAAACTACTGGAGATATTTCTCACAGATATAGAAAAAATAGCATCTCAAAATTTTTCAGAAAGCATAAAAGACCCTGGTTCACCAAAGCAATATGGGGAAAGGGGAATAAAGTAGGAGGCAGCTCACTTGATGACATCCAACTCCATTACAAAGCTGTGATAATTAGACAGCATGGTATAGTCAAAGACATGGACAGGTAGACCAATGACCTAGAATTGAGAACATTCAAATGAATACCAAGCATGCATGTAATTGATTCTTGAGAAAAGGCAAAAGACAATCCAATAGGAGAATGTTACTGCAGCAAATGGTGCTAGCAGAACTGGATATGCAGAAAATTAAACTAGATTCCTCTCTCTCACCACTTATAATAATTAACTCGAAATCAATTCAAGATCTGTACACCAAACCCCAAACTAGAAAAATACTGGTGGAAAAGACAGGAGAAACTCTGGGAGATCTTGGAGTAGGCAATGACTTCATAAAGAAGACCCTCTAAGAACAGGCCAGAGTCCCCAAAATATATAAATGGGTCTATCTTAGCCTAAGAAGCTTGTGCACAGCAAAAGTAACAATAAGTTGAGTGAGTTATTTATGCTCACAGTGGGAAGTTATTTTGGGTACTCTGCCTCAGTTAAGGGTGTAGTAATGAGAATATAATGGAATTCAAGCACCTTCTGCACACACACACACACACACACACACACACAAACACACGCATGCACACACACACACACACACACACACACAAATAGTCCAAATTAAAAAAAAAGAAAAAAAAAAGAAACTGCATCTTTCCTGAAAAATAGGCAAAAAGCCCCAAGCATATCAGAACATGCAAAATACCTCTTAACACAAGAAAATGCTAATCAAACCACAATGAGATACTACTTAACTCACATCAGAATTTCTCATTTTTAAAAAATTACTTTTATTTAAATTTATTTATTTATTTTAACTTGATCAGAGACAGAGTCCAGATAATGTACAAGAGAGATCAAAGGTAGGAAACTAAGCCACCATGTCTAGGCCAGACATGTAGAAGTCTTGTGCCATTAACCACCGCACCAATTGCTGGTGCCATGGAATGGCTAAATTTAAAATCTTAATAAGTTCTGATGAGGCTGTGGAGAAAAGGAAATTCTCCTACATTGTTGGTAGGAATGCAAATTAGTACAAATACCTAGGAGAATGAAATGAAGATATCTTAAAAACCTACAGCTACAACTATCGTACAACACAGTATTCCTCTCTTAGGTATTTACCCAACTGATTAAAAAAATGCTCAGACAATTCCTAGGACATCAAACCACCCCAAATGTGCAAAAATAGATCATTTGGAATGGAAAAATTGTGGTATATGTACTCTGAAGTATACTACTCAGCCATAAGAAAACAATGAGACCCTAAGATTTGATACAAAGTGACCCAGTGTGAAAAATTTAATGCTAAGCAAAGCAAGGTAGTCTATGAAAGACAGATTTTGTATGTGTTCCCTCAATATGTATATCTCTTTTCTTCATATGCTTTATACCGGAAACTAAAAGTGTGCAAGATATAGAAACAGAGAGGGCAACGATAGATGCTCAAGGAAGTAATGTAGGGTAATGAAGGGATAAGATAGCAGTAGGTGAACAGGGGAAGAAATAAAGTCCATTTAATTCCCAATAATTAAAACAAATAGAAATTTACTGTATTAGAATCCCACCCAAATGCACCTTTCTGAAAGAGTTTATCGGCCTATATATTTACTGATTTGTTGCAAGCTAAACAGAGCAAACATGCTTGTTATGCTGCAGTGACCAATGTAAATCTTTGGTTTAAAATGTAAAATTTCCAAATTTCTTCACTGTTTAATTTGGCAATATTGGAGCAGTGTTTACTGTTTTAAAGCAATTTGTTTTATTTTTCTTTATGAGTATTTTTAATTACTATTATTTTAGTTTAACTTGGTCTTACCTTAATGTTTTTTCATTTAATTGTATTCTTCCTTAATTTAAGTGAATTTGGTGTCTTTTGAAGTGGTTTTCTTATTAAAACTATCATCTTAAGTTTTATATTTGGATATCTAGTGTATAAAATTCTACAGATTGTAAAGATTGTACATATGTACAAACACACACAAATATAATACATACATATACAAACAATTCAACCAAAGTGATTGAACAGTATGTCTCACAGATACATAATATACTGTGCCATTTAATTCAGGAAATGTTAGATTTACAGAATGTACAGCTTTCCACGAGGGTAAGAGTGTTAATGTGTAAGTTTTACCTCTGTATAAATATAATGCTTTCATATTATTTCATTCCTCATATATTCAATATGATTGACAGCCTATCTATAGGTCTGGCTGATCACAGATATCTGTGGCCAGGAGTCAATCCATGCTCTACAAAGGATTGCATCGTGATCACACAGGGCATTTTTAAATAACATCCCACACTCAGTGGAATGTACAGACATAAAAGCAGAGACCCAAAAGCACAAATATCCAATAGAAGATCATTCTCTTTGTTTTAAAGAGGAATTGGATTTAGAAGTGTTTGCATCTTGGCACTAAGAAGCACTTATATAGTTATTATTTTTTCCCAAATGTTGAGAGTCCAGTTTTAAACTCACAAACGTTCATTTCAAACTTTATAACTTAAAGTGTACAGAGCTTTACAAATGAGGCATGACACACTTTTAAAAAAGATGAGCTTATTTTTATGTCAATTTGTTAAGAGCTAAATAATTGTTAAACTGAAAGGGGAAATCAATTGTTAGCTTTTGTGAATGTTAAGGATATGTTTCTCTTCATACAGTGGAATGCACATGTGCCAGGGGCCAGCCTCAGCAGGAGTGGGTTGACTCGTTGGAGGCAGTGTAGGAAAGGAAGACTAAGGCCTCAGTGCCTTTTTCATGCAGTCCTCAGCTGGACAGCCCCAGAGATTGCTCTCTGAGGAGTGAAAACTGCTAGGAATCATCGTGCCTTTTTATTGAAAATGTGATACATGCAAGTAAATGGGTGAGGGGCTGCACGTTCTAATTATCAATTCATAAAGTTTTAACAATAGAGATCATAGATTCCATTCAGGGTTTGATTAAGGGCACGTCTATTAATCATTGATACAGTTCAACAATTGTTTGATTGATGTAAGCAGGCTTTTAGGAAATTCTGAAAGTGTAGTTTTGGAGAACAGTTCCAGCAAGCAGAGTTAATGATCAACCGGTATTTAGCAGCAGCCATCTTGTGATTACTAAAACAAAATATCAAATATTTAGGTATTAGTTCTTATGGATCTCAATAAAGAATGATACTTATATAATTCTATAGGGATCTAAAATTTAATTAAAGTAATCTTAATATATCTATTTTAAAGGGATGAGCCTACTGTTCACTTGGTGAGAATAAGGGGATACTTGGAACAGCTTCTCCAACTAGCAGTACCGGTTTTTCCTAAGTCAAAAGTAAAATGACTAACAAGTTAATGAAAAACTTTAAAATGGGTTTATGGTGTTGTGGATTCACTTGTGTAGCCTATGGCACCACTCTTATGTATTTTGTTAGAACATTAGTTACCACAGGACGAGAGTGTCCTGGGCCAGTTTCACCCTAGACCTATTGTATGTAAAAAGTTATTTGTATTAAATGTGTACTGAAGGACCTTCTAAAGGTCTAGAAGAACTTCAGCACACCCTCCATTGTAACTGCATGGATGAAGCCTTGTAATTAACAGTAAGTGATCAGGGTAAAGGGGAGTGGTTGGAGAAATTTTGGGAAATCTTACTATAAAGAAGTATGAGAGAACTATGTAATTCTTTCATAGTAGTAAATGAGGGAATAAGAGGGGAGTCACTTCCCAGCAAGGCTATTGCAGTTTCTGGAGCATATTGACCCAAGCTTTTGCTCATAGGTCAGGGGGCATACAGGAATGGCCTTGCCAACGTGATGAATCGACCAAAGCTATGCTTAAAGGTCGGAGTCTCAGACAGATCCTGGAGCCCCACCAGGTCAGAATCCTGCACACATGAACAATCATTATACTTAAGGAAAAGGCTCACTTCTCATTGAAATAAGACAAAGGCAATAAAGGCAATATCCCAGATCTATATCATTATCTAGGGCTAGATAAATGAGTGCAAACAAAGTATCCCTGGGGCATCCATGTTCTCCAAGATCAAGTGAGAAAACAAGCATTATTCTGGGTATTTCTGTCACACAAACCCATGAAACATTAATCCTATATTTTCCATCTACTACTCGCCAAAGAAAATAAAAGTTGTTACTTTAAACAACAGTCTAGGGAACCAACAGTTAGCATAATGGCTATGTCACTGGACTCCCACATAGTCGACTGTGGTTCGCATCCCGGAACTGGTGGCTTAAAACTCATGCCGGGTGCGTGTACATGTGTGCCCAAGATCCTGAGAGGAGAATGGAGGAGAAGGGATTGCGGTGTGACCATCACCCCTGGGGGGTGATTTCTCGCTTGCTGTCTCTCTGTCTCTCTCTGTCTGTCTGGCGAGCACATGCACCCTCTAGCAAAACCTCTCCAAAAAAAAAAAGTCTAGAGCTCACTCTTTTTATAGTGATGCCTGTTTATATACAAGTAAAAAATAATAATGTTTAGACAGAGGTGATCAGCAGTAATTTATTTTTAAAATAAATTACTGTAGCTTAGTAAAACCATCATGATGAGATGGCTTGTGTTTTTCCAGTCCCATGTTCTAGTTAAAGTAAGGATGAACTTGCTTCACGCTGTGAGGGGGGCATAGGGCAATTTGTTGCTTCTAATGTCCTTCTCAGTGCAACGATATGCACCTGACCAGTCATTAGATCAAAAGTCATTCGTCTTCTTCTCCAAGTACTTGAGCATGTAGTCCATGCCTTGGTGAGCTCCAGATTTTCTTGAGAACTTCACATTCTCTTTCATTGGCCTTTTCTAATTCATGCTGCATATGACAGTGCATGAGGGTTTTGGACTCCTCAAGCACAACAGGATCACCTGAGGCCATTGCCTGGATCCTAAACATGACTTTTTGGTTGAAGGTTTCAGGCCAGAATGTTTGGGAGACCAGTCCTTTTTCACATGCCTCCTGGGCAGTCAGCTTTCGCCCACTGAGCAGCATTTCACTTGCAGATGCCCTTCCCATAATTTTTGGAAATGTGACAGAAGAACAACCATCAGGGCTCTGTCCAAACACAGTGTAGGGCGTTTGAAACCAAGGTTTATCACTTGCCCAGACTGTATCACAGAGAGGCAGTATGGAGGCTCCTAAGCCAATGGCTGGGCCATTTATTGCTAAAATAAATGGGTAACTGAATGAATGAATTCACAAAGGTTTTGACAGCTTCTGCCATTTATCACTTTCTCTCTTCCTGTTGTTTGTTAAACACCGTAAAAAATAAGCAAAGTCAAGTCCACAGCAGAACATACTGCCCACTGCACTGAGAAGCACAATCTTGCTGTCAGTGGCAGCAGCCATGTTCAAGGCACTCTGGACTTCTTTCATTACCTTGGATTCAGGGAGTTATCCTTTGATGATTTTGTAGATAGCAAGATGTGAGTGAAGCCATCCCGCTTCCAGACAACAATATCTTTATATCTGTAAGTATTTTCTATTTGTCTCAGGCTGAAATGCAAATGTTTATCAGAAGGCTGGTGTGTTCTTTCATCAAGAATTTTCCTCTTCCCAGCCCTCACTCCCATGACAGGTGTCTGCATCCTGGTTGTTCCATTGGCATCTAATTCACTTGGAAATGGAGACTTACATTTTCTGCTAGTGGTCAAATCTATGACCATGGCTGCAGGTACAGGGCCAGGAACCACAGACTCTAGAGAAGCTATTTTGAGCCCATCCTCCATCCTCAGTTTCTCCACCCAAAGGCCCACTAAAGCTCCATGTCTCTTGTCTGCAGCTACAAGTGGCACTGACCTGTCGTCCAGACATTGTTCAGTGGGGTCCCGGAGTTCCTGCAGGCTCTCTTTTTGAATGTCATTTTCTACCATCTCATACTTCATGGGGCTGTAAGGCACAAGTGTCTTTTTACCCTCCATAGTCTTCTGGTCTGTGAGAGATGAGGTAGAGTTTCTCTTGGCATTTTGACTGCTGCCAAAGAGTGGATCTTTTTGGTGCTCATGGGTCTTGCCAATCTCTATCAATTTAGGAGAGGTAAGAGACAATATCGTTTTTGTGGATCTGGAAATGTTTTCTTGAGACTTCTTTGAGGAGGCCCTGCATCTCCTGGTCAGTTTGCTTACTCTCTTCTTTTTAGTATGATGTCTATTGAAAGCTCGGGTGAAATCCTTACAATTTTTGAGGTGCAGCACTGGCTCCCATGTGTCTTCCTCACTGCCATAGTCCTTCCATTGAACCAAATACTCAGTTTTACCCTTTTCATTTTTCCTTTTGTCAATAATTTTCTCAATCTAGGAAGCAAAAGGAAAACATTATCATTGAGAAGTTAAATTCAACAGAATTGTTTCCTTACCTGAACAGAAGACAGTAATTTCCCACTCTTCTCTAAAATTTAACTTGGATATGGATTTTTGATCCAACACAAGTACAAAGATAATTAGGACGAGATCATAAGCAACAAATGTAGGTTTCCTGTTACATGACCCACAGGCTATTACTAAATGCTCTGAGACAAGTTGCTTTGACAAATATATTTACAACATTCTGTCTTTCCATGTGTAAATTTTTAAGTATGAACCACCGCTACAATAATGGGCTTTTTAAACTGAATGAATGTATTCACAAAGGTTTTGACAGCTTCTGCCATTTTAACACTTTCTCTCTTCCTGTTTTTTGTTAAACATCGTAAAAAATAAGCAAAGTCAAGCCCACAGCAGAACATACTGCCCACTGCACTGAGAAGCACAATCTTGCTGTCAGGGGCACCAGCCATGTTCAAGGCACTCT